TATTCGAATAATTCTTTTGTAATTGGTTCAGTTTATTTGTATTTGTCATTTAATAAAAGCATATTTAGAATTCGTTATGCCTTGTACAGTTTCTTATCAATCTTGATTCCATATAATCATGTCATTAATTGGTTCCCTTTTGTTTTCGTTCTTTGTCTTTATGTTTATTTCTGTCATTAATCCTCTATCAGTTCTCCAAAATTGTTCAAATTTATCCTTATCTTTTGTCAATTATCAATTCAATTGTTTTCATGTCTTTGTTTCTATATTTGTTTTCATCATTCATTCTCTATCGTTTTTCTAAAATTGTTCAAATTTGTTTTTATCATTAAATTATTAATTCAATTTTCCTTATTCATAATTACGTAGTTATTTATCTAATTCATTTCATAATCATTTCATGGCTCTTGGTATTCCAAATATTGTACTCCTCTAACTATTATATATTCTGACATGAGTCTTCTTTCCTTTCTCAGTTTCTCTTCAGTTTCCTCTATTACTATCCAATGATATTATTCTTAATATTATTCTTATTATCGTTATTATCTTAATCTTATTATCATCATTTTTCTTCAAGGGATATATTTCTAAAGATAAATCATTCAAGCACAAATTGGTTTCTCATTATCTCGATATAATCTGTCATCAAAGATCAATTCAATATCATCTCATTCGTCTTGAAAATTATACTCAATCCTCTGAATTCTTATTCCTCAATAAGTCTTGTCAACAAGCTATTTTCCACCGACTCGATTTCTACATTCGTCAAAATGATTTACTTAATTGTTGTAAAATCTATCACTTATATTTTCTTGATAATTAATCATGTTTCTATCTATACTTGTTGTTTCTCCCCTTTTTATTTTCTCTTTTGTTCTTATTATCTTATTATTACTGTTGATTTATCATTCATATAGTTTTTTTTTTTTTTTTTTTTTTAAAGTGCTAGCTTATTCCTGCGCCAGTTCTGAAACTTTATTAGAGTCAAGATTGGTTCTAAGACAACCGGAATGAGTAATTACCCATACTGTCTAAGGATTTACAGATCAATGAATAGTACAAGGGGGCATCTATTTACGTCTCACCCAACCAGGATGAGGTAACTATGTGACCATCTAGTATAGGACTGTTTCTTAATTCTAACTCAGCTAAGGTTTTGGGAAGACTTATTCTTCGAATTTAATGAAGCGCTCCTCACCAAATTGTTACCTTTTTATATTCAGAAGTGGCACTTCCTAGGACCGTGATCCACCAGACGACCTGTTGCTATCCCTGTTGCCAGGGAAACTAACGTGTCAGGAATTTGCCTAAGATACTCAACACCACCGGTGTTGGAGATTTCTTATACAGAATCCTATTGGCTCCATTAGTACTTTAAGTTTTTTCCTGGGGCTTGTTTTGTGCGGGACCTGTCGTGTTACTTGATAGGGCTTGTTTTGGTGTGAAGGACAACAATCCCTTCATTGTAATTGTCAGGGGCCTGTCTTGTGTCTTTTATGGGCATGTCTTGGTCATTCTGAGAGTGATCTGGTCCTTCTTCTTCCCAATTTGGAATGATCAGTTCATTTTTACTTGGGACCTTTGTACCACTTATTTTTGGCCATATCATGAAACCTTGTGTGTATCTTGTCTTGTTATAGCCGCGATAAGCAGGTGGGGTCCTTTTTTCTGCATTCCTTTTCGGTACCTGAGATCAGTTGTGTATGGAGGGCTCGTATCACTCATGCTAACCTTATATAGAACCTTGTATTGATTTTGTCATTCTTACTATAGGCATGATGAGCAAATGGGTTCTCCTTATTGCTTTATGAAGTACATGATCATCATCATGGGGGATGAGATCTTCGTACCACCTTGTGGCTTAATTCTCACTTGGTCTCATGTGGTATTGAACTCTGGACCTTGTGATTGCGACCTGGGAGCACTACCACTATGCTATCGACCCACAGGTCTTATCGTTCATATAGTTCTCAATCTTATCTTTATCATTTAATATTATTCGCTCACCCTGACCTTCCAGGTTTTTCATATCTCAACGTGGTTCATCGCAAATATTGACTTTTTGCTGCTCATTCTCTTGATGAATATCCTAAGGTTCCTGATATGATTAAATTTATTTCTCATAATCATTATATCTTAGATGAATTGGTTATTATAGAAGGTAAAACTGGTGTACTTAATATTTCTAATGTTCCTCATGAGCATGTTCCTACTATCAAGATTTTAAAAATCAATCCCAATACTATCAATATTCAGGATATTCATGATAATTATTATTATATTGTTGAAAGTTTTATTAATTATAAAGGTACTTATTTATCTCATAGAGTTATAGCTTAATATTCTTGTATTATCACCTGTTCAATGCCTAAATATCTCTTAAAGAGTGAAGGTGTTGGGTAGGCTTTTCCTGCACAAATTCCTTCAAAATGTTTGACTTATCATTTTCATTTCATCTTTCTACTACTATCATTATTACTATTATCTCTATTTTACTAGTTTCCATTCCTCTTATTAAACATTATATCTATTCTTTCTTCAAATACTGTGGTAATTATCAATGTTGTCTCAACCATTTAGCACATCCCAATCTTTCTGATTTTTCATACCTTAATTTTGTAAAAATCCAATATGCCCTCAAGCAGCTCACCATTTAGGCATTTTTCCTAAAATCTCATCCGTTATTAACTTTTTATCTCTTAATTCCCAATATTTAATTGATCTCGATACCACTATCCATTATTTAATTTTTGCTTTGCACAAAGATCATCCTTATATTCCTAATTGTCATGTTATTCTCGTTCGTTTTTCTCAAGAAGGTTTCTCCGAAGTTACCATCATTCCACTTGATCAAATTCTTAAATTTTATTGTTATCAAGTCTTGAATACTCCTGGTAAACATAAACAAGATTATGTGTTTATGTAATATCTCTAATTGCCTGTTTAGTATCTAATTATTCTTTGAGTGAAGATACTAAGTGGGCTTTACTCCCGTAAATTCATTCAAAATGTTATTCTTTAAACGATTATTCAAAAAGTTTTCTAAAATTCCTAAAGTCACTATTAATCAAGATAAGACTCAAAATCTCTTATTGGATTCCAATGATACTAGTTATAACAAGAAGCTAATTATAAATCTTGTTGAATCACAAATCCCTGGTTTCTCTTACTTATACATGTTTCAAAATGAATATCATAATAAAGTATTATATTCTTTGAGTGATTCTCCTCTTGCTATCAACGTATGTCTCTTTGCGGCTCAAAATATTCAACAGTTCCCAGACTTATTAGTCAATTACACTTTAGAAGTGGATTTTCGAAAATATACTCCTTTGGTTTCCATTAGAAATACCTATCCTCCTTTCAAACCTGAAAGAATACTTAAATATCAGTGGGAAGGTACTGAAGATGAACCTATTGAAATATTTCAAAATCGTCTTCTCCAATATGAAAATAAAATAGCATATTGGAAAAGTACTCATGAAATTTTATACTCTATCGGTTCTGATGTCATGGTTTATAATCATAAATTTATTTAACTATATTATCATATTATTCGAATGTAATCATTATATATCATTTTGTATCAATATTTAAATAAAGTCAAATTCATTCTTTGCATCATTTTTCATATAAAATGTCTTCTAGTTGAAATTCTCATAGTTAAGATTCTTCCCCTGTTTCTCCTGCTGTTACTCCTCCTCCTGTTGCTTCTTCTTTCAATGTTCCCATCATTTCTCGTCCTCCATCTTTTCATTTTTTCGTACTTAGTTCTGATGTATCATGTTCCAGATGTCGCAATATTTCTAAATCATTCAGTCAATTTTTTCAAAGTCAAACAGAAAATTCTATAGGCACTTCCGTTACTGACCCATATTTCGTATACATTATTTGAGACCGTTTGTGTGACAATTTCCCAAATTTATGTTTTTAATATTGTATAATTAGTTCTGACCAAAATCAAAATGTGGTTATTCCTATTTTAATTATTTATCAAGAAGAAGCTCATCCTAGTGGATCTTCATAAAGTATAAATTTACAATATTACATTAAAATTAAATCTCAATTCACCTTTTTCTTATTCCACAGGTATTTATTTTATCAATTATTAATTTACTTTATGATTTATTAATCTCATTATCTTATTATTTTAAAGATATATCTCAACTATGGTCATTACTCATTCGTCTCCACGTATTCCTCGTCATCTCTGTTATGATTCGGTTCCTTTACGTCTACTTAGTGCATGTTTTTACTGTGAATATATGTCTCATCATGTCGATAATCTTTTTCGGGGTCTCCATTGTCCTCATTGCTACTGTGTCAGGCGTCTTTATCGTCAGTTACTTGGTTATATTTCTCATTATTCTCAGGTGTATAATCCTAATTTGTCATTAGAAGTCAATTTTGCAAATATGGCTAATCATTATCACGCTTTGATATGTCCTCATTCTATAACAATTCCTCATTATAGAATAAATCGGCATAGTTCAATATAATTTTGTTTTATTTATGATAATTTAATAAACTTATTACTAAAGTCGCATTAATTTTTATGTGTTCCATGATCTTCTTAATTCACGTGTTATTTATTTCCTTATTTACTCAAGTCACTTGTGTTTTCTAACAGTTCATTTCTAAATTTATCTTTGTTTTCTCAAACTCTAATTGTTATTTACATATTTTCATTCAAATATTTAAGTCCTAAAGATCTTCCTTTTCTTTCCTTCATTACCCATTATCTGAACAATTTTTCTTGGTAATTATTTGTTGAGTCTATTACCTTCTACAGCACCTTTTTCTAAATTTTATTATATCTTATAGAATCACAATGTCTTATAAGAACAGTTGGTATAGTAACATTCCTCCAGAGTCCCGAGATCATCATTATTACAATAGAGATCATCGTATCAGGGGTCATAACCTTCTCCATCGCATCCCCAGTTTCTATCACTATATGATCTGTGCTCGGTGTAATGTGTACATGGATGAAATATGGGACATCCAAGAGGTTTTTTGTAGGCGCCTTCGTCGTTATAATCCTGATATTTCTTTGGCTGACAACTTAAATCATTATTTTAACAAGTCTCAAGGTATCTATCAGTCTTCCTTTTTATTCCTTTCTTAAAGAGACCAATATCATCTTGAGCTGTGTGGTGTTCCCCCTCAAGATTTATTTCCATAGTATGGTTGTATTGTGACTACTTTTCCTTTTCTTTTTCTTTAAAATGTGGTCATTTTGCACAATCCATTCTTCTTTGAGATTCTAGATACTCTCTTGGCTCCTTTTCAACAATGTTCTTGAATGGATTTCAACTGTACTGATATTGTGTCTCGCTTTCTTGCTGGTAGATACTCTAATTTTTACTTTTTTAAATTTTTAGAATTACAGTATATGAACGTACCCGTAGGGACCTTCATAACTTTGGCCATTATGATCGTACTATGTTTCTTGATCGGAATGTTCGTCATTTCATTCATAGTTTTTAATATTACAAGAAAGTTATATCGACTTGTTGGAATATTTTGAAATTGATGGGTCATCTCGTCATCACAGTTTTCATTTTTAATAAAGTTTTTAATTTTAACGCATCTTGTTCGTATTTGTTTACGTGTTTTTGTTTGTTGTAAATTTCTTTCTTAAACCTTAATCTTGCTATTTAAGGGTACGTTTCCCTTCTCTATTTTTCTTACATTTTATCAAATATGACTAACCATCGTTCTCCTCGTTCCAATAATTCTCGTGCTCATTTCTCTCGTCGTGGTTAAAATAATTTTGGCTCTTATCAATCTCGATCATTTCCTGACTGTCTTCGTGATGGTATATACATTTGTTATTTCTTTCTCATACCTTGTTAATAACATTATTTTTTCTTATATTTTAGTTCCTGATCCTTCATGTCCTC